AATGTACATTAAGAAAAATTCTATTTGAAATGCTATTATTGAATCTTATTCAAGTTCACTTCGCTAATTTTAGTTAAAGTTCTACTTGGAAGTCCATTGTGAGCCTAAATTTGTACTTGATTTGAAGATGACATTAAGATGAAGAAAATCAAGATTTTGGAGTAAAGGATCCGATGGTGGGCCCGCAGCCCCCAGTGCCCCAGTGATTTTGGCATGGCGCCAGGCCCGAGGCATTGCTGGGCCACAACACCGCCTGTCAGTTTTTGCCTCCTTGCACTGTTTTTGGTTTCCTTTTCCGTTTTGGACTTTGTTTTTGATATTTTACTTCAACTACAACTCTACCATAAGGGTTTGAACATCGTTTATTTGTTCCCTATATATATTTAACTCTTCTCTACAATTTATTTAAGGGTTGATTTGTCCCCCATAAGAAGTTAGAAATATTATAAATATATAATCTTTGTATTCTTTCTTCATATTATAATAAAATCTTAATTCTCTTCAAAATTGCATCGTTTTTATGTTCTTGTAATCTTTACTTCATATTGTGACCTAATCTCTTACTTTCTCCAAAAAAAAAAAAAGTAGAATTGGATTAATCTAGTATTATCTCTGTTTTTCACAACAAACTGATATTTTAGATCATAACACTATTGATGCTTAGTACTAATCTAGCCATATTTAGTTCCGTTTGGTGGAAATTAAAATTAAATTTTTAATAGATTTTGATAAAAGTTGATAAGATATGTGGTTGAAAAGTCGTGGATCTTATAAAATGTGTAGTTAAAATTAATTGTTGAATTTGATTTAGATTAAAATTAAGATTTTAATCCATACTGAACGAGGGCTAAAGGTGTTCAATCAAGTAATTGACAACTAGACTTCATGTGCAGTACATGTTGAATAACATTACTTTTTAGATAAAAATTTGTCTAATAATGTATACACCGTTTGACAAAATATATTACTTGAAGAAGCTCTCTAAATTGAGTGGGAATGGCAAAAGTTTTTGTTCCATTGGCTTGCTTTGAATTCCCAAACCCCGCCTCTAGATATCTTATTTTGTTTTTATATATACTTTTCAATTTAAATTTTATTTAAAAATAGAAATAAAATTTAAAAAGAAAATAATTAAACGAAATGATAAACAAGAATTTTTTAATCCCGTCACGCTTCCATAAAGGCGAAAATGGTAATGACTGATCCAATCGATCACTTTGCCCCATTCTTAAACGGAGTAGACTTCTTCACATTGGAAATCACATTCTTAAACGTCTACTTTCACTAATATATAATTTTTTTGAATTACATTAGATGATTCATCTCAGTTTATTTCCTTTTAGTTTTGGTTACACACGACATGAGAATATGAGATAGGGTTGATGAGCAAGAGTTAGGTCCATGGTGGGTTAGGTAACTTAAGATTTGCACGGTGTGAAAACATGCATGCAAGAAGCAAAACTGTGTATAATTTGATGTAATGTATGTTGACCTCGAAAAATGGCTCGGACACGTGGCCAACGGGATAGGTCTTCAAGTCA